GTAATGAGGGCTGTGGATCTTGTAATAAATAAATATATAAAAGAGTATACATCGCCCCAAGAATGACTTACTGACTCAGTGGATTCGAGTAACTAGTACTACTAAATTGTGTCTCTTCCTAGTATTTACAGAATGAATATCACTTATTTTTTTAAACTTTTTTTACTTTTGTATACGTATATAGTTAAGTACGTACAAAGTTAATATATTAATTTTCTTAAAATTTTGTCGCAGCTATTCTTTAGGTTGTAACTTATATATTGCTGGTTATAGGCCTCTTCTGTAAAACAAATAAAATTTCAGTGTCAGTTGCGTGTCCTTATAGCAAAACACCATACGAGATTACGCTATGGAAATAGCTAAAGTAAACTAGTTCAGCAGTTTCAACGCTGGTAAGATTTCTAATCTTTTTTACACCATAAGCTGCAGAACTAAGTCTGCTCGCTAGTTTTGGTATATGTGGGCCCCAATGAAGCTTCGCATCTAGTGTGATTCAAAAACAAATGGTGATATCGACAAAACTCAGTTCCTCCCCATTTAATATTTATGTTGACATTTGGAGTCATGAATTGCATACGTTTCGTTTTAGCGCCATTTAAATGCAAATTATCAACATTTTCAATTTTAGTTTACCAATTTAGGTAAAGCATTATTTACTTTGTCATATTTTTCACTATAATATTATATATGTCCACCACAGCGGCACCTACTGGGTCCAGGTTTTATGATTTTTTGATTTGGCGCCTAACAAACATGTTGAGCATACTACAATACTAAAATACATATTGCAGAGTAAATATCTACCAAGTATATAATCGCTACGTTTTAGGCAAAAAAGGCAAAAAGTGTTTATTTATATGATATAATATATTTGATTAGATATCTGTGTTTTATATATTAATATATATATATATATATACCCTTTACACCGGAAAACGGTAGTGGACGCTCTGATGTTTGGAGCCAGAAATAGGTAAGAGCGTATAGAGGCAGAGTCCCAGTCAGAAACTAAGGTGCGAAGGTGACAGCGTAGGAACACTAAGTGGTTTTAATTTTGTTATTATTTATCAAAAGAACAGGTAGGAGACGTAACAATATATAAAATTTTCTGTTATCTTTGTTAACATAATGAAATAATTTATTATAAAGAAATATGCACTTATAACACAATATATGTATTCAATTAATATTTGTACAAAGCACTCAATATTACAGGTTTTGTAATCACTACGCTTAATTACACTTTGATTAATTCGATGAGTGTTCTCAAACGGAATGCCCAAGAATCATGATGCACCCGAATTTATACATTTCCCTTTCCACTTCTCTTCCGTTGTGCACGAAGAGGGGCGGCCGATGTTGGTTGCCAACACTGCCATCCTGCATGGTTCCTGCCTCAGGAACCTCACGAGTCCATTTAAAATACTGCGAAGACATAAATTGATAAGAAACTACTTTTATATATATCAATTATCTTTTTTTTTATAAACTGATCATGACTCAAGTTTATAGTCAAATGTTACAATCAGGTTACACATTTTTAGTTCTACAAAACTCGACGGCACTTTTAAGACCACCTGCACTTAAAGGAACTTGTCACACTTAAGAGACCAGGTTCGTCTTTCTTCTGGAATCACTTTCGTTTAAAGGACATTTAGTCTCACTAAAAAGTACCAAGTTCATTCCAGTTGCATTTTAATAAGATATTTCGTTTTACTTAAACGTAACAAGCTTATTTAAACTATGCTTATCTCGGTTTTGTTTAACTTTTTATGTGCTTTACCAATATTTTGTACCGACTTGCGCACTCAGTAAAATGCAATCAAAAATTTTGCCATATACACTTTTTCGGTACTACCTAACATCGACTTTGTGATGTATTTCCTTATACCTTACCACCTAAAAGTTCATAGTTTTTTTTTTTGAAAATATCTTTATTTGCTTCGGCCTGTCCTGACTCTTAAATTTCTTTAAGCTCAAAGAACGCGATCGCCTACGCCTTTTATATTTTGTGCGTTTATTGCGTTGCAATCATCGTGATCTACGTGAAAAACAACTTGTTAATTAGCAGGCAGGATACACAGTTGCCTATCCTCTCATCCATCACGCATACGAGGGCCCTCAAACAGACATACGCTCTCATACCTTGGACTATAATAAAGCACTTCGTTTTCACATTTAAGCATACATCTCCATACGAAGTATCTCACACATACTCTTACTTAAACTTGCGAGATCCTACGTTAACCACGTGAATCACGTTAACAACGTGAACCAGGACAGCGCCTGCCCGGATAGAGTCTGCTGCATGTTCAGAGAACACGACTTCCGCGCATACAGAGTATAACACTTCCGCGCACACATAGTATACGACTCGCGAGGCACCGCCATGTATAACATACGCGCGCTTCGGAACGGCGCCCACCGCACGTGCAGCATACGTGTCTGCCGAAACCAGGCCATGATACAGCTGGACCCGGTAGTCCATACCGACCAGCAAGGCACACACTCGCCTTACACTCGCGTACATGTAATCACATCACACGTGCTACTGTAACACATAAAAGAAAACATTAAAAGTCTCCGTCGGAACTTGATTTCAAGAAGTGCATCACTACTCTTGGGACACGATTCGCTTTTCTAGGACACCATATACTGAGCTGCGGCTACACGACAACCTCTGGTATGGTGCGATCCTCATGTATCGTTAAATTATCTCTTCAATGTCAACTAATTTTTATTTACTTCGATTTCGTCAGTTATACTTTGTTTTTCCGCAACTAATTAAAAAGTTAAGCACTTATTATTACAAAATATTTTTAAGACAATATTTAGGATAAATTTTCTTTCCTCATGTATCAAATGGTGATCGCTAGCAGCGGCAAATAATGTGCCTGTGGCGTCATAAGCCCACAGCATACTTCCACTCAAGAGCGGGCGCCACAGCACCACGCCTTCCACTATACCCTCAACATTAGATCCCAATTTTGTCGAACACAACACTTGGATTAAACTATAACACTTGTTAACACATTAGAATACAATACTACTTGGTGTTTTTAATTCATCGCACGTTAAAGTTAAGCATTTTTTTTTGTTTATCGTTAAAACATGTTGAACTTTTAAAATTAGTCCATGTAAATTATATCACATATCCAATTATAACTCGAGCATGTTAAATTTCCACTGAACGCAAAACTATAACTCATCTTAAAATACCTCCAACATTTCTTTCGACATTTTTACGTAAAGGGATAATTGCGAACTTGCGGGTACCTTATTATCAATTGAATGTTAATTGAACAAAAAGATTTATCTTTTGGTTTAAAACATTTCACTTTAAACTTTTACTTTAATTGTATGTCAATGTCGTAAATAGTACAGCAAATTTCATCTCCGACATTTAATAAAAACAAAGACATCAACGCGAAGTCTTTCACAAAGTTAATAACCATCACACTATTCGAAGATTATTTATGTGGACGATAACAGGGATTGTATCCCACTACTGATGTTAACATAATGAAATAATTTATTATAAAGAAATATGCACTTATAACACAATATATGTATTCAATTAATATTTGTACAAAGCACTCAATATTACAGATTTTGTAATCACGACACTCAATTACACTTTGACTAATTCGACGCGTGTTCTCAAACGGAATGCCCAAGAATCATGATGCACCCGAATTTATACATTTCCCTTTCCACTTCTCTTCCGTTGTGCACGAAGAGGGGCGGCCGATGTTGGTTGCCAACACTGCCATCCTGCATGGTTCCTGCCTCAGGAACCTCACGAGTCCATTTAAAATACTGCGAAGACATAAATTGATTAGAAACTACTTTTATATATATATCAATTATCTTTTTTTTTATAAACTGATCATGACGCAAGTTTATAGTCAAATGTTACAATCAGGTTACACATTTTTAGTTCTACAAAACTCGACGGCACTTTTAAGACCACCTGCACTTAAAGGAACTTGTCACACTTAAGAGACCAGGTTCGTCTTTCTCCTGGAATCACTTTCGTTTAAAGGACATTTAGTCCCACTTAAAGGTACCAAGTTCATTCCAGTTGCGTTTTAATAAGATATTTCGTTTTACTTAAACGTAACAAGCTTATTTAAACTATGCTTATCTCGGTTTTGTTTAACTTTTTATGTGCTTTACCAATATTTTGTACCGACTTGCGCACTCAGTAAAATGCAATCAAAAATTTTGCCATATACACTTTTTCGGTACTACCTAACATCGACTTTGTGATGTATTTCCTTATACCTTACCACCTAAAAGTTCATAGTTTTTTTTTGAAAATATCTTTATTTGCTTCGGCCTGTCCTGACTCTTAAATTTCTTTAAGCTCAAAGAACGCGATCGCCTACGCCTTTTATATTTTGTGCGTTTATTGCGTTGCAATCATCGTGATCTACGTGAAAAACAACTTGTTAATTAGCAGGCAGGATACACAGTTGCCTATCCTCTCATCCAACACGCATACGAGGGCCCTCAAACAGACATACGCTCTCATACCTTGGACTATAATAAAGCACTTCGTTTTCACATTTAAGCATACATCTCCATACGAAGTATCTCACACATACTCTTACTTAAACTTGCGAGATCCTACGTTAACCACGTGAATCACGTTAACCCAGATGTTACTGTAACTATTTTTTGTTTTCGATCTTGGTGATATTCGGATATGATAGTTAAAATGACTCATAATAACGAGGAAAAATAGTAAAAAAAATTACATGTTTTCAGAAAAGCCGGAAAAGGGTGGGCTTTTAAAAGTCCCGTCGTAATATGGGGATTGTTTACATGTATGTGGCGGTCTAATAATAAAACAAACCGTTATTACGAGTATATTAGTTTTTTATTATTACGGTAAATTTTAACTATACAAAAGAAAATAGACATAGGTATAGCAAGTTATGTGATATGATGTCTCACAATAAAACAACATTTAAAGTCAGTAAAGTTCACTAACTTTACTGAGTTTTAGTGTGATATTCAAGGAAACAGATCTTAGGATGTAAATGAATCTTACACTTTTGGCAAATAAAAAAACTTTTAACTTTGCAAACTTTGCATCTTAGTTGGGGAGCGCTGTACTGGACCAAGTGATCAACCCCATCATATCGAGATGATTCAAGATGAGATCTACCTGTGGGACATGGTCCCCTCTTATCGCTTTTTTTGTAGCTTTCGAGCAAACCTTTCGCCAGTAGTCTACGAAAAGTGAGATGATCATGTTCTCCACCATCTCGCTTGTAAAGTTGCCATGCATTATGCACAGCCATATCTAAGGTGTGACAAAACAGTGAAAAATACCATTTCTTGCCACGAATAGAAGTCCGATACAACCCTATGTTTTGATCGGATCTATCGACCCCTCCCATATTTTCATTGTATTTTCTTATAACCGACGGTTGGTCAATATGTACAAATCTTTTTAGTTCTTGCGAAAATCTCTTGACTTTTTGCAGGGGCTCCACAATTTCAGTATTCGATGCAACAGTAACGACACTATTGTCATTCCACTTGCAAACCAAAATATTGGTAGGCAAACTGGATTTGAATACAAATGAACCTCTATCAGTATTTTTGAAATCTTTGTTAGATTCGAGAGGACACTTGGACGTTCTGTTTTCACGAATAGTTCCAGTGGCTCTTAGACCTCTATTACTAAGTTCATGCAGTAGAGGAATAGAGGAAAAATAATTGTCGAAGAATAAATGAAATGGCAATGTTGGATCACGACCTTGTAGAACATCAGCAAACTCCAAAATCACACTCCCACCTAGACCAAACTGTTTGTAACCTTCTGCAATGGTTGAAGATTTTCCCTGGTAAGGATCAAACCAAATCACGTAGCCTAATCTTGTAGCACCAACCCACAGTTTATACCCCCAACGAATTGGTTTGCCACGTATAAACTGTTTGCAACTGTGACGTCCATAGTATGGAACCATAGCCTCATCTATGCTGTAGTTCTCTTCTAGCGGAGCCATTTCAGTAAAGATTTTATTTAACTCGTCAAACAGAGGTCTCAACTTAGCGAATTTGTCAGGAGAATCACCAAGAACTGTATTATCACAGCAGTGGAGATTTGACATAATAAAAGTAAAACGATCTCTTGACATAGCGTTGTGCACAATCCTAAAGTCGGCATCTGTCGATGTCTCTCAATACATAAACCTACGGGGTACTACTACATACCCGCTGTACATAAGGATGCCCAAGAAACACTTCATTTCAGAAACAGTTACTTTGCCCACTTTATTCCTCTGTCCTGCATACAAATTGGTATATCGCACTAGTAATTCAATAACATTGTTGTTGAACAAGCAGTCGAAATAATATAAGGGTGATTGTAAGTTTTTTGGACCTTGTTCGTCATTCCATTGATTGAAATGGTTTGGAATATGACGATTCTTCCATCTATAGGTTTGGTTTCGGGGAACTGTAGGCTGAACAAATGTAGAATTAATTAGTTAACACATCTGAAGTACAAGAAGGTACGGCGTCACTATCTTCTAAAGTCAAATCCATCGTGCGTCTTCTTTTTGACAAACTTGACACAGGTACATCATCTTCTTCGTCGGAACTCATATGAAAAGTGACCTCGGCTGGAGCTCGTAGTTGAGAGCCTATAAAAAACAGATATAAATATTGCAACCATATAAATAAAACAAGATAGAATCATTGATACGTAGTTATATCAACCCAGGTAGATTTTGCAATGCAACAAATTCTTCATCTCCAGAATCCTCATCTGTGACGTCGGCATTAGCGTTCTCACGTGGAAAAATTGTAATTTGAGTTGGCAACAAATCATCATCCTCACATCGCTCTAATTCATCAACTATATCGTTGAGAGTGAGTGCTCTCAAAGGTCGCGTGCTAAAAAGAAAACAATAATATTATAGACCCCCATATTGCGACGGGACTTTTAAAAGGCCATCAATTTGAAACGTGAAAAAGGAATGAGTTTTTGTTGCACCAAAACAAATAGATAACCTGATATTGTAGATAATATATCTAAAATTAAATATCAAAATGTATTAGCAACAACATCCAGATATATAAATGATAAAAGCTTACCTTTGTCCAGACATCATGACACTAATACTCCTAAGTCTTCAATGACACAAAAACTTTAAATAAACAAGTGTCCAGTTGTAAACAACACCGCATGAAATCATACACGGATAGGTACTAAGTAACCTGACAGTGCAAATATCTTAGAGAATTCATTTTAACAACTCGAAACTTGAGGGTATTTTTAATAATTTTTTCGGGTCTTTTAAAAGCCCCGTCGCAGTATCTGGGTTAACAACGTGAACCAGGACAGCGCCTGCCCGGATAGAGTCTGCTGCATGTTCAGAGAACACGACTTCCGCGCATACAGAGTATAACACTTCCGCGCACACATAGTATACGACTCGCGAGGCACCGCCATGTATAACATACGCGCGCTTCGGAACGGCGCCCACCGCGCGTGCAGCATACGTGTCTGCCGAAACCAGGCCATGATACAGCTGGACCCGGTAGTCCATACCGACCAGCAAGGCACACACTCGCCTCACACTCGCGTACATGTAATCACATCACACGTGCTACTGTAACACATAAAAGAAAACATTAAAAGTCTCCGTCGGAACTTGATTTCAAGAAGTGCATCACTACTCTTGGGACACCATTCGCTTTTCTAGGACACCATATACTGAGCTGCGGCTACACGACAACCTCTGGTATGGTGCGATCCTCATGTATCGTTAAATTATCTCTTCAATGTCAACTAATTTTTATTTACTTCGATTTCGTCAGTTATACTTTGTTTTTCCGCAACTAATTAAAAAGTTAAGCACTTATTATTACAAAATATTTTTAAGACAATATTTAGGATAAATTTTCTTTCCTCATGTATCAAATGGTGATCGCTAGCAGCGGCAAATAATGTGCCTGTGGCGTCATAAGCCCACAGCATACTTCCACTCAAGAGCGGGCGCCACAGCACCACGCCTTCCACTATACCCTCAACATTAGATCCCAATTTTGTCGAACACAACACTTGGATTAAACTATAACACTTGTCAACACATTAGAATACAATACTACTTGGTGTTTTTAATTCATCGCACGTTAAAGTTAAGCATTTTTTTTTGTTTATCGTTAAAACATGTTGAACTTTTAAAATTAGTCCATGTAAATTATATCACATATCCAATTATAACTCGAGCATGTTAAATTTCCACTGAACGCAAAACTATAACTCATCTTAAAATACCTCCAACATTTCTTTCGACATTTTTACGTAAAGGGATAATTGCGAACTTGCGGGTACCTTATTATCAATTGAATGTTAATTGAACAAAAAGATTTATCTTTTGGTTTAAAACATTTCACTTTAAACTTTTACTTTAATTATATGTCAATGTCGTAAATAGTACAGCAAATTTCATCTCCGATATTTAATAAAAACAAAGACATCAACGCGAAGTCTTTCACAAAGTTAATAACCATCACACTATTCGAAGATTATTTATGTGGACGATAACAGGGATTGTATCCCACTTCTGATGTTAACATAATGAAATAATTTATTATAAAGAAATATGCACTTATAACACAATATATGTATTCAATTAATATTTGTACAAAGCACTCAATATTACAGATTTTGTAATCACGACACTTAATTACACTTTGACTAATTCGACGCGTGTTCTCAAATGGAATGCCCAAGAATCATGATGCACCCGAATTTATACATTTCCCTTTCCACTTCTCTTCCGTTGTGCACGAAGAGGGGCGGCCGATGTTGGTTGCCAACATCTTATTACCTTATTTATTAATATATTTATTTTAAATATTTTACTTTGACAATAATAATAATATGTAATTTAAGTTATATAGTTAATTTAAAGCTACTTTATGTTTTGCATTGCCTGTAAAATGTTACGAAGTTATAAGTACAATTTGTGATTAATGACTTGAATACTTGAATTTATTATAATATAAATATATTTTAGTGTAGGTATGATCATGGACTGAAACCACCTTATTAACTAACAAGGCTCTAATAATTGAAAAAATCAGTATATCCATTCGATTTTATTCTATATATATAGTAAATTTATAAGGAAGTATAAAGGTAGGTGTAAGTTAACTTCAAATACTCTTCAAGTAACTTAATCAAAGTTGCAGGTCAATTCATTTAAGGATAGTTTGACAATACAACAGTAAAACAATTTAATTTTTTAAGTAAACGTTACCACAACTTTAGTACTTATCCCGTGTAATCATCACACATAGTGTGTGAACAATCACCTAGTCTTTTCAAAAGTCTTTCAAAAACACTTGTCTTTCGTGGGATTCGAACCTACCGGTACGCAACGCCGCAGCTAAACACTTTCCTCTCGACTCCCATTACTCCCTCGAGACATTCTCTCAATTAAATTTTAAACCAATTCTTGCAATAAAACCTAACAATATCAAAAAAAGCACTTTTCAAAACAAAAGCAATTCTAACAAGCTGACATGAAAATTAAAACAAAAAGCCTTTAACACGAACCGTGTTACTGACGGTGGTAGTCAGATTGTCGGGCGCAATTTTTATGTCAAGCTTTGTTTGCAACGGCACAGTGCGAGGCATTGTTTCAGTGTCAATTAAAGGTCGAATGTTTCGAATGGGAACTACGCATCAGCTATTCGAATTCAACTTTCAAATTTAGTACGCACAAAGAAGTGCTGAACTTATATTTTGTTAAAAAAATTGTAGACGTGACAAATTTTATAATAATAATCCTACATTGTTTTATTTTATGGAAGTCTCAGTCGTATTTATACTATTACTAGATTTTTATTCAAATTTTAATAAAATTACTCGAAATGTATTTTTGGTTCAAAATTCATAATCAAGTTTTGAAGCACCTGGTGACATCCGATTGAGCTAAAATTTGGCGTACTCATATAATTTTGATGAGAATAAATTAATATGGTAGTATTGATCTGATCTGATGATGGACCTTGATGTTGGCCTAAAAAAAAAATTTAAACCATTTTGAAATAGATTTTATTTTAATAAGCCCTTTTGAATTAAAACATTAAACCAAATGAAGTTGGTTTAATTTAAAATAAATAAAATTAGTATAAACTTTTGAACGAGTATAATTTCATCGGCTTTTAAAAGTCCTTTGCTGGACAAATGCCTCATCCAATGTAGAGGATTTTTAATTATCATGCTTGGTAAGTAACTTAATCCATAAAACAGGGGTTAGCGGTTGGCCGATAGTCGTCCAACAATTTAGTTTGAAGGGAATCGTGTAGCCCGTCAAACTGATTTATAGGTCGATAACTAATCGTTATGATATGTGCACTTGCATAAATCTCAATACTGATGAAGAAACCGACTAAACTCTCACCCGATAGAATGTCTGCAGTGTGCGGTGTCTCTAAATCATATATTTCTCATTAGATCATAAAAATTAAACAGTTTTGTTTATTGCTACTCACTCGTAATACGATAATACGCTGTCTATAGACTCTACCAAGTCTAAACTTTTGCTTTTCGATGCAGCTTACTAATAAGTAAATGAAGACACGTATACTATACTTGCAAAGCGAAGAAATTGCTTCGTCTTTAGCACTTAAATGTCTTTTAATGAAAGTGAGCCTCTCAAGTTGTATGGAAAATTTGGGAAACATTTACTAGTTATCCGATAAAAATTATGCCTTAAGTGTATGAAAATGGAAATATGAAAGTAATAAATAATTTTCCTCAGCGAAGTTTATACAAGCTACAAAACTTGCAGAAGTTGCCTTCTTGAAGCAATTCCTACCGTGTAAACAATCGTGGCAAGCTCACTTCTGCAAGTTTTGTAACTGCAGGACTTGCTACAGTTCGCAAGTGTAAACACCATTTTAAAACTTGCGATGAAAACTTTACGGTTATTTTACTTGCAAATTGAAAGTTTTTCGTTGATGAGCAAGTTAAATGTCAAATAAACAAGAATTAAGTTAAAAACTCGGTCAGCGGAGGACCTTCTAGCGCATGCCACACACGTATGGGGCAAAGCGCTTGAGGACAGGCGGAAGCACTTTCTGTTTCCCTTGATTTTTCGGAGGCCTTTAAGAGAGT